ACTGCTATAACAAAAAGACCCCAAAAGGCAATGGCTCAAACAAGGTAAGTGCCTATTTTTCTCTCGTGAAGCAGTCCATAGGGAAAAGGGTAAATTAGGGTGAAGAGGAATCACAAGATCATCAGGTCAAAAAAGGACCCAGGTTCCTTCTCTCTTGTTACTCTCCATCCATCCTACAGTCTTGTGGTCAAAACTGGCTACTCATCATACTCTGTGTTCTAGCCCATTAAAAGGGGGCCAATTGGGCGCCTGGGTGGCTCAGTGGGTTAAAGCCTCTGCCTTCGGCCAGGTCATGGTCTCAGGGTCCTGGGATCGAGCCCCACATGGGGCTCTCTGTTCAGCGGGGAGCCTGCTTCCCCCCCCTCTCTCTGTCTGCCTCTCTGCCTACTTGTGATCTCTCTCTGTCAAATAAACAAATAAAAATCTTTAAAAAAAAAGGGGGGGGGCCAATAAACGTACAAGAAAGCCTACCAGTTGACAAGCTCCATACATACAATTATCTTCTCACAGTTTCTATGGGCCAAGAATCTGGGCTAACAAACATGTGAGCTTAGAAGAAGAACCTTTTCCCATCAGGATTCGGATGACAATCTAGCCCTGGTTAACTCCTTCACTGCAGCGAGAGACCCTGAACCAAAGGACCCCATTAAACTGTGCTCAGATTAATGACCCACAGACACTGTGAGGAAAGAAATGTATGTTGTTTTAAGCTACTAAGTCTGAGCTAATTTGATATGCATCAAATAGATAACTAATGCAACATCTCAACTTTTGTTATTTAAATTATCAGTACTTGACAAAATGAAATCTTTTAGTTGTACATTAAAGGCAAATATACAGTTTAAAAGTATAAGGCTCATATATATTTTGACAATCTTTTGGATTTAATACCATCAGTGAAATAGTAAATATTAGGCTTTTTATACTCAATCCTAATTCCTATTATCTGGAATGATCTGCTCAAAAACTTCACCCACACTGTTAGTAATACCGTAGTCCTGCAGCTTTTCTTTCTTTTTTTTTTTTTTTTTTTGAGAGACAGTGTGAGCCCATGAGTGAGTGGGGGTGGGGAGGAGCGAGAGGGAGAGGAGCTCCTACTGTGGAGCGTGATGTAGGGCTTGATACCACAACCCTGTCAGGCACCTTTACAAACCAGGCTATAAAATGCAATTTTCTTACAGATGTAATGTTACTGATGCCATGAGTACTCTCAGGGGAAGTATGAACCACATAATATCACAATGGAAAATGTTTTTAGACTATAGAAAGAATAAAAAATTTGAAGGTTTTCCTTCAAAAGAAATTGTTACCTAAGAAAAACAGGTAACTTGTGGCAGAAAAATCAGTATTAATGCTTAACTGTTTGTTTTTATGTTTGCTTAAATGCTAATAAATATATACTCCAGATGAATGAAACGGAATGCCTCAAATGGCCTGGGAGGTACAGATATCTGACTAAACGTGAAGGTAACCTCAGGCACAGGTCCCATGTCTGGGCCCTTTTATGCATTCATTTAATTAACATTTAACTTTTTTTTTAAAAGACTTTATTTATTTATTTGACAGACAGAGATTACAAGTAGGCAGAGAAGCAGGCAGAGAGTGGGAGGGAAGCAGGCTCCCTGCTGAGCAGAGAGCCCGATGCAGGGCTCGATCCCAGGACCCTGAGATCATGACCTGAGCCAAAGGCAGAGGCTGAACCCACTGAGCCACCCAAGTGCCCCAACATTTAACTTTTTTAAAAAGATGATTTATTTGATCTTTATTTACTTGAGAGAAAGAGAGAGTGTGCACATGAGCAGGGAGAGGGGCAGAGAGAGAGGGAGCAGCAGACTTCCCTCTGAGCAGGGAGACCTATATGGGTTATGACCTGAGCCAAAGACAGATGCTTAACCAAGTGAGCCACCCAGGTGCCCCACCATTTAACATTTTTATGTATTAACAATAATTAGATGTAAGACAGCAGAAAAGAAATCCCATTGCGATGTAACAAAAACTCAAAATACCCACGAATTATCTTAATAAATTAATGTATAAAACCATATGTAAGAAACCATAAAATTTTGATAAAGAATATAAAAGAATATCAGAATAAATGTTTTGGGGATGTGAAGACTCAACATTATTAAAATAATTTACTTCATGTTAATTAGCAAATTTAACAGAATTTTTATAAAAATTCCAGTAACTTTTTCAGAAGTCCTTGATAAATTGATCGTAAAGTTTATCTGGAAGATGCATAAGACAACAATTTTGGGAAAAAATAAAAAAGGTGGGATGGCTTGCCTTGATATATACAAAAAACATATGATAAAAAAATTGAAAATGTATGTGAAGTCAAGACGTTCAGAGATGCTGTGGGTTGAACTGTGTCTTCCAAAAAGATATGTTCAATTTCTAATCCCAGTACCTGTGAATGTGATCTTTTTTGAACACAGGGTCTTTGTGGATTCAATAATATTAAGATAAAGTTATACTGGAGTAAGGTGGGCCCTAATCCAATGACTGGCATCCTTATGGGAAGAAGGAATTTGGACATGGAGACACATAGGGAAAATGCTATGTGACAATGGAAGTTAAGAATGGAGTGATAGGGCTAAGGAATCCCAAGAACTACTGGCAGTCACCAGAAGCTGGAAAAAGCAAGGAAAGATCCCCTCTCAGGGCCTTCAAAGAGCATGGCTCTGTTGACACATAGATTCTAGTGTCCTCCCGACTGCCTGGGTGCCTCAGTGAGTTAAAGCCTATGCCTTTGGCTCAGGTCATGATCCCAGGGTCCTGGGATCGAGCCCAGCATCGGGCTCTCTGCTCGGCGGGGAGCCTGCTTCCTCCTCTCTCTCTGCCTGCCTCTCTGCCTACTTGTGATCTCTGTCAAATAAATAAATAAAATCTTTAAAAAAATTTTTTTTATTATTTTAAGCCACCCAGTTTGTGGTATTTTATTAGGGAAGCCCTAGAAATCCAATACAAGGAGAATACAGCAATTTATATATGGTAAAAGAGAAATCTCAAATAAGTTGAATGGTTTTATTTGTTCAGTGAGTAAGGGATTAGGACAATAGGGTATTTGGAAAAAGTTAGAGTTCTATGTCATAATGTGTACTACAATTCCAAGTAGACCACAGATCTAAATGTTAAACACAAAACCAGAGAGGTGGTAGATGAAAAGATAAGGGATTATTTTTATAACCTTGGTGCAGGGAAAGATCTTTTTAAAAATTTTTTATTAAAATATAATGTATTATTAGCCCAGCGGTACAGGTCTGTGAAAGGGAAAGATCTTCTTACCAAAATACAAAACCCAGAAGCCAGATATGATCATTTAAAAATGAAAACTTCTGTATACATACAACGAAAGACAACATAATCAATGTTAAAAAACAGGGAGAAAATATTTGCAAGATACAGTAAAGACGTGGAGTAAATATCCAGAATATATATGATCACATAGACCATAAGGAGATAATCAACCAAAACCACAAAAGGCCAATAATACATGGATATGCAACTTCAGTAATAATCAAATGAGATGCAAAGTGAAATGAGAAAGTATTATTTATTTAGGGTGGCTCAAATGAAAAATAATTTCTAATAATACCCAGTGTTGAATAGGGTATGGTTGAACAGGTACTCTCATACAGTAATATTTTTACAACCCTTTTGGTTTAGACAGCAATTTGGCAATGTCTACTGAGATTTATTTATTTTTTTAAAAAAATATTTACTTAAGTAATCTCTATACCCGATGTGGGGCTTGAACTCATGATCTCGAGATTAAGAGTTGCATGCTCTTCCGACTGAGCCAGGCAGGCGCTCCTATGTCTATTGAGATTTAAATGTTCATATCCTTTGTTCTAGCACATCCTTCTCTAAGACTGTATCCTACTGAAACACAAGTTCACAAAAATAAATGGGGAAAATTCCATTAAGTGTAGGACATGCATAAAATACAGAGCATCATGCAACAGGGGTGCCTGGATGGCTCAGTTGGTTAAGTGTCCGACTCTTGGTTTCGGCTCAGATCATGACCTCAGGGTCCTGAGATGGAGCCCCACATGGGGCTCCACACTCAGCATGGAGTCTGCTGGTCCCTCTCCCTCTGCTCCTCCCCACTACCTTCCCTGCTCTCTCTCAAATAAATAAAATCTCAAAAAAATAGAATATCATGCAAAAATTTAAAAAGAAGATCTACATGTATTATGATAAAAAATGTTCCAGACTTAGTAAGTGAAAAGAGCAAGTTGGAAAATATATATATTTTATAAATATCAGTAATAACTATCTTATGTACAGAAAAAAATGAAGATACTAACTGCACTGTAACAATGGTTTCTTAAAGGTAGGAACATTTATTAATTCATTTATGTAATATTTAATGAGTGTTTATTATGTGCCAGTCACTGGTCTAGGTGCTGGGGACTTAAAAGGGAATAAAAAAACAAGATGAGGAAATGGTGACCATTCATCTTCTATGTTAAATAGTTCTATAAAGTATCACACCTTTATATTTTTGTCTCTAAGAAATCAAAGTTTAGTTTCATTTAAAAAAAAAGATTTAAGGGGGCACCTGGGTGGCTCAGTTCGTTAAGGATAGGTCTTTGGCTCAGATCATGATCCCAGGGTTCTGGGATTGAGCCCCTCATGGGGCTACCTGCTCAGTAGGGAGTCTGCTTGTCCCTCTCCCTCCCCACCCCACACTCGTGTTCTCTCTCAAATAAGTCAATGGAGTCTTAAAAAAATAAGCTTTAAGGTACCAATGAAAAACTTTCAACAATATAAAGCAATTTGTTTTGTCATTCTTTTAAAATCAGTCTTATTAAACAGTTTTTAAAAATGGCACTAGCATATTCAAGACTATATTTTGGTAAAATTAATGTGAAAGCATCAACAAGTTTCTAATACCATAAGATCATTACTTTGCTTGGTTGAAAAATAAGAATCCTTAAACTATATGGTATCTGATTTATGTAAAATCCCTTATGATACAGTATTTTACTTACAGTTTGTGGATTAATCTCCTCCTCTCCCATAGGTTCATCCATAATTTGCTGTCCATTCTGTGAAAAGCATAGCAAGTAGAAAGTTACCAACACAGATCTCAGATCAGTTAAAGTTAAATGAAGGCAGACAAAACAAAATCACATAGGAATATTTTTACCCCTACAGGGTTCTAATGAAGTACCAAACCACCATATAAGTATGTAGTTGCCAGTATGCAACAGGTTGTGCTTTAAAAGTTAACTATAAAAACATTTTCCATGAAAATGATATAATAAATGATGATTACCTTTCCAGGTGAGCCCTTGAGGTTATTTTAATAGTTAAATGCCTTACAAACGGTGTCATTCAAACCTCACTGAACATCATTTATAATACTTTCCTTGGCAGAAGATACTCTAAATTCCAACTCCATTGATTAATCAGGGCAACTGATTATTTTGGGGGGAAAGTAAGCTAGATTTCTATACCAAAATCGATCCCAGGTGCATAAAACATTTAAATGTCAAAAACAAAATTATACAAATATTAGAAGAAAATATAGGTAAATAATACTTATGGGGTAAGGAGGGTGGAAATCATAAAGGGAAAAAATGACATTTGAATTGATAGAAGTTTAAAATGTCATCTGTCAGACACGAAAAAGGTAAGACAAATTGATTACAAAAAAAGCAACATATGACAAAGGGTTGGTATTCTCAATACATAAAGAACTTTGTTTTACAAACCTGTAAGAAAAAATGATGAACCTCAACAGAAATGAGCAATAAGGAAAGAAAGAGTTCAGCCTTAGTACTAATCAAATAAATGCATTTAACCGAAAGATAACTTTGCCTTTCAAACTGGTAATGATTAACAGAAAAAATAACACCCAGCACCAATATGAGTATGGGGAAAAGAGCACTCAGGATATACTGCTGGAGAAAGTATGAATCAGCACAACCTTTCAGGAAGGTAATCTAAGTCTGTATTAAAACAAGTGTGCAAAGATGTACATACAAGAATGCTCACCATAACTTTTTCCAAAAAGAACTCCAAATTGGAAACCTAAATTCTTAACAATAGAGAACTAGTTAAATATATGATGGTACATCCATATAATGGAATACTATACAGTCATTAAAAATGATAATAAAGATGTAAATTTATTGACATGGAAAGACAGTCACATGTAATAAGTGAAAAAGCAGTTTACAAAAAATATGGATTGTAATGATCCCATTTTAAATAAATATATACATATTTCAATGTATATATTTGCATGGGAAAAACTCTGGAAGGATATACACCAAAATGTTAACAGTGGCTATTTCTGGGTGGTAGAATTTTAGACAATTTAAAATATGTTTGTTTTTGCATATTTGAATTTTCTAATGTGTCTACAATGGATATTTGTGCAATTAATAACAAAACAAAACAAAACCAGAAGTCAGGAACATAGGGTCTTCCCTAGTTACTTCAATGGAAAAAGGTGTAAATGCCCCTGATCACTTGTCAATTCAACAAATGTAGAAGGATCCAAGCTAACCATCTTTGGAGCACTATCAATTGAGAAATAAAAGGCAGCCCACCCATTACCCTACATCCCACATGAGGCAGATGCTCTGAATTTGAACTCTCTCTACTCTCCAAATCCTTATTTATCCATCCATTCATCCACCCACTTCTTTCATTCATGCTATGTTCTAGGCACCAAGCTGTACATGAATGGTTAATAAAACATGGCCCCCAACCTAGAGATCTATCCTAGAGGATCTTACAGATCCACTGACTTATAAAAAGAGTACCTTTCATTTTCAAACACTCAAAGAGTATGTTCCTAGGTTAGGGAATGCCTATACAATATTACAAAGCACAAAAATGGTGCTAAAATGCAGTAAAGGGGAGGCAGGTATAAAATCTTTATTATCCTAAGACACTTTCAGAGGCTATAGTATTGCCCACTTCTACGGTAAGGACTCAGATAACTCCAGGAGACATCTTTCTCCCAAAAGCCACAACCATTTAATTCAATTGAACTGGTCATTTTTCTCCAAACATCACAGACAAACCTTAAAGTAGTTCTTAAGAACACTAGCTTTGGAGTCAGACACCTAGACTGAAATTTCTACTCTTAAACTAAGTATGAAGCCTTGGACAAGTTATTCAAACTAAGTTGCAGTTTCTTCATATGAGAAGTAGAGATGAAAAAAGTCTCATCTTCAGAGAGTTGTGGTAAAGACTAAGTGAGATAAGTGATGTAGAACTCTAATCACAGTGCCTGACGCTTAATACGAACAACCAATGGTAGCCATTTTAATTACACCCAAAATTCAGTCACCCCATTTATGGCTCACCAATCTGCTACTTCTATACTTGCTATCTTAGTGAATGGTACCATCATTCATCCAGTAGCACAAACTGTTTTTCTCATTAATTATACACAGAGTTCTCTTTCTATAACAAAGATCTGCTAAATGGCTCCCAATTATTTAACTTTTAGAACCCTTCATCTAACTGAGCTACAATTACACTTTCCATAGGAGTATAATTTGATAACCATCTGCTCCTTGCAATTTTCAATGCAACAAAGCAAGAATTACGACCTATAACTTACTTTTAAGGCCAACTGTTATAGTAGAAACAACACTAAACTTGGAATGGTAGACAAGGGATAGAGTCCTAGATTTGCCACTTAGAAGCTTTATTATTCCGGGCAATTCAGACTGTCTCCTAGCCTATTATCTTGTCTGTTCACAATGATGATAATTGCCCTGTTCACCTAAAGGGTTAATGTTAGACTCAAAACTGAGATAACTTATAAGAAAGTACTTTATAAACCATAAAGTGCTATACCAATGCAAATTATTATTACTAAGGTGAGGTAGCTTCATGAGGATAAAATACTCCATAAAGTCTTTTTAATCTGAGAATCAAAACATTTATGATTGGTAAGGGATCTTGAAAGTCTTTTGTTCCGAATAAACATCATATGCTTCAATTCTTTCTTTGCCATTCTCACCTAGATTTGAACACTATCAGGACAAGAATGTACTACCTCACCAGGCAGCCTAGATAAAATTCTTCATTATATAGTAATTTTCCTCAGCTACAAACTCCCTTTAATAGGATTACTGATACATGACTAACTTGCCTGTATTATATCTGCAAAATAACAGGAAGTAAATCTACACCTATGACTGTAAAACATCCTGAGTCTGATTTTTACTAGGCAACTCAAGTTCCTTTAAACATTCCTTTCAGACAGATGAGACCACCTTCTTTTCTGAGCATGCACCCAATTCATCTTAAAGTGTCATATACAGAACTACATTCAATTAATATTCCAGCCTTGATATGACCAATGCAGAGTAAAGAGCATATCACCTCCCTTGTCCTAGATAATAAACTTATATTAATGCAGTTCACATATGCATTGTTTTTAAAATGCCCAAAACACATTGCTGAGGCATACGAAATTTTCTATTGGTTAAATCCTAGTCTTCTTTATACTGCAACTAAGCCCTGTGTACTTGTTGGTACACTTAGTCTCATGAATAAAGCCTTAAATTTTAAGTTTCTGACTCATCTCTTTCTAGTTCTGATCCTCTATAGGATTGCTACAGCCTCTATGAAAAGGATTCTGAATCTGCTAATCAGCCTCTTTGCTATTTCTATCTTCATGTAATCCACAAATCTTGTATTTCTTTTCTAAACAATTCACCCAGCCAATTAACAGTAATATACTAACAAAGCCATCTGAAAAAAAAATGAAGTGAAACATGATCTAAAGGTAGTTTATGCTCTTATCTTTTGCAAAAATATCTACTTCCTTTCTGAGTTTAGGAAATATTGAAAATTTTGGACAATTTAAGGAAACTATAAAAGCCAACATTATCCTACATATTGGTGAGGCTTTAAAAAAATCTACTTTTTAAAAAGCACTTTTACCTCAACAAACCTTTTATATTGTTTCATCAAAACAATGATTCAAATATTACCTGTTAGAAATTAGCATAATCACTCATGCAGCTAGTAAGTTTCCTTTTTGAAAAATGACCCTGAGCTTCACTAGAGATTAGGTTACATGGGCCATTAGTCCGACTCAATATGCAATTTCTATAGTTTCTAAAGTTCAAGGAACAGTACCTATTAAATAAGAAAACTTACTTCTTTAACTTAAAGAAACAGAAAAAAACATGTGATCTGCATGTCACTAGTATCAGGTTTAAACCCCAGCTCTGTCACTTACTGCTATAGTTACCTGGCCTTGGGTAAGTTACTCAACATTTTGAGCCTCAGTCTCTTCATCTGTAAGATGCATATAATATCTACTTCACAGGGATGTTGTACTTAAATGGACCTACCAAGGGACACCAGATGCTCAGTAAATACTACTTTCTGTCCCCTCTCTTTTGCCTGAATTGTGTAATATATACATTTCTACAGTTAACTTCTAAAGACATAATGCAATAAAGAAGTACAGGAGAGTGCTGAGATACTTGTTCTGCTACTTAATACAGCCAATTGCCCACCACGCAGGGTGAAAGAGATCATTCATAAGTGTAGTATATTTTTATACAATGTGGCCAAAGAATGAGTACAGACAAAAAAGAATAGTTTAAAAGTGAGGCAAATGTATTTATCCTCTCTCATCCCACCATTATGCCTTCCAGCCAAAAAACTGCAGAGCTTGGCAGATTGTACATATGCAAATATTATGTGAAATACTGGAAAAGGTTAGGAAATGCTAATCATGCTTTACTCTCTTAGTCTGAAATGTGTAAAAGTCAAAAATAAGAATAACGTACAATATGGATCTCATCAGAACAAATCAGACAAAGGAGAATGTTAGCTTGCATTTCAGCAGGAATTGTTTTCAAAATAACTTCTAAGGTTCTGGTATGAGATTATCACTAAAATCATCTTTCTGGTTTAAAAAGGATGAACAATTCAAACCAGTAATTCTGAAACAAGATTTCATGATTTCTAGAGTATTTGCAAGTATTTTAAGGGAAATTCTCAAATGTTAAAAATAAGACTATTTTACTAAATAAAAATTTCATTTTAAGCAACTTTA